AATCAGCGGTAAATCTCCATCACCTGCGTGCTTTCACATTGAGCAGCATTAACTACACAGAGCTGTTGTTCACTGATGAGCTGCGCAAAAAATCGCGCGAATATGAACGTGGTTTAGCGCAACTCGTCAGTGAACAACGGCTCTGTGTAGTTAATGCTGCTCAATGTGAAAGCCCGCAGGTGATGGAGATTTACCGCTGATTACAGAACCGTCTTTACTGACAAGATGCGCATTAAATATCGCATGCGATTTATCGTGCAGCCCTAATGCTGAATTTGTTTCTTAGAAACACACAGATTTTCACTTCACAAGATGTTAACTGATGGAATGGAGTGGTGTGGATTACTTGTGGATTATTGTGATGTTTTTATCAGCTGTTTGGACACTCATTCTGACGGCACCCATTCACTGCAGAGCATCCATTGCTGAGCAAGTGAAATTTCTCCAAATCTGTTCCCACAAAGAAATAAACTCATCTACATCTTGGATGGCCTGAGGGTACGTGCATTTTCAGCAAATTCTCATTTTTGAGTGAACTTTTCCTTTAAATTAGTAACAAATTAAAGGAACAAAAATACAGTTCACCAGTTGTGCATGCACAGAAACTGTTGAGCCCTTATATGAAGATGCTTTTTAATAATGTTAATTAAATTAATGCTAGAATGAGGTTAAGAGAAATAATTCTATTAGTTTTTAATGATAAGCTTAAAATAGATTTTAAAATATTTTCGCTTATTTTCATAAGATATGGTTATTACATAGGTCTCTAGAATATTTGATTCTAATTTCCGTCAAATATTTTTTGTATGACACTAAACTGTATGAGTGATTGTTGTTTCAGGCAACTGATCTCTCCAGAGTCTCTTTATTCTCTCATTATAAAATTATCAATAGTTCACTTTCATTTCACTCAAATCAAGATTTCACTTCCATTAATCAATTCTGGAGTATCCATTCAAAGGCATAATGTAAGGTTTCCATAAATTCAATAAACTATATATTTTCTCATTCAGAAAACATTTCTGCTAACTATATGCTTGGCATATAGAGGTGGAACCAATTGAAAGTCTCTTTAATGTGATTCAGTCCTTTTCTAACACTGGAAAGTATAAGTGAATTTCTGATACAGGACGTCATTTCACTTTCATGCTCTTGAACTGACAGTTCACTTCGTAGATTATCCGCATGATGAAATATTCAGCTCTTAGAAGTATCCCTTATTCAGATTTCAGGGCTGCAGTTATTGTCTCTTGCCCAAAAACATGAAATGAACTTTTTAAATTGAACCAGACCACTCTGTTTTGTTTCTTTGGCTTGAAAGAATGCAGTTCCCTGGAAGTGAGTTTAAGCTGACCCATTCCTGACTCAAGAGAAAACATGAGCGTTTTACTTTACAGTATAAATAAATCGGCTCTCCATAACTGTATAAGCGTATAAACCAATCGTTGTCCCTAGCTACTAGACTTCAGCATGTGCTATTTAATTTAGCGTGATGGCTTGATAGGTTTGACTTTGTGTGGTTTTTGAGTGAAAAGAATATATATTTCTTAATGTTCATAATCTATGCCTTAATTTTTCACCCTGAATATTGTTTTAGTGTAGATTATACCATTTTATGGCTTTTAAGTAAAGTTCAAGTTTCTAATTCATGTGGTCACTTTGAACTTGAACTTTAAGATTAGTCACATGTACTTTTTGGATTGACTTTTCTTCGTTATGTAAGTGGTGACTCAGCTCAATTTGTTCCTGTCGTAAATAATGGTGTAGTAGGCCATGCTAAGGGGTAAATGCTAATTCATAAGTATTATGTATTGTAAGTAGCAGTAGGCTTTCCTGCCATGCCACTGCGTATTTCATGAACAAAACAGGTTTTGAGGCAGTTGAATACCCATCCTTATGGAGAAAATAGCACACCATTTACAAATGTGATTTTGAATAATTTGTGCCTATCATTTTCTTTTGGTTTTTGAATGAGCGACTTCAAAAAATATCACGGCACTCGTAGCGCGTCTGGCCTGCCGACTGCCAATCCTGGCCGGTAATGCAAGATTACAGAGGATCTAAATAGCAGTGCTCGCTCAGAAGACGTCAACGTCGTAAGCAGCCGATTGAGAAGCCAAAAGTGTAGCATCATGAGAATCAATGGAGTGTGAGACGCTAAGTTTACTTGTTCATGAGCGTGTGTTGATGGTGATATTCCACAGACTTCACTGTGTGCCAGGAGAAATCTGATGCATGACATTTGGTTCACTTGGTGTATGTTTTATATTCCCTCCTTGTTTTTTAATTGCATGTGTTTACTGAAAACTTAAAGACTGGGACGGAGACGTACAGTATAGCAGTTTTCTTTCAAATGACTTCTGCATCTGCAGTATCACTTAACAGGATTTTTTTGTTGAGTTTTTCACCATAGTAACTACCTGAAACCTCAAATACCCTCTTCAGCTGCGGCTGCTTTCCGAGCTGAAATTCTAGATTGACTAAAGTCTTGATGGATAAATATATGCATGCAGCAAACGTGTTTTTCATTTTATGCTGAATGACAAAAGTGTTTCCTCCACACAGCTTCTCATTGTGTTTTGACACCGAATAACGGAGGCAAACTCATAATAATGACTGTTGAAGATTACTCCATCAGAAATGCATTAGAAGTGTCCAAAACTCACAAGACAGATTTGATCTGCATCTTCTACTGTTTATTTGAAGAGAACCACTTTGAGTTCTGCTGTGAACTCTGTGCTAAATCACTGAGAATGTGGAGGGATTGAGGAACATGTTATTTAGAAATGTGAGTTGCAATGAAGAGTGAACGAGTCAACATTCACAAATTTTAGACCTAATCTTTTAATATCCTCAAATATGATTGTAATGAAACAAAATGAGTCACGCTTCATTTGTTGCAGGAAGGTCTATCTGGTTGCATTCTTCATAAATGTTCTTGCTCGGGTGATGAAGGATCTGCCGGAAGTATGCCGGAAATGTGCCGTCTTTGCTCATGCTGAGCTTTAATTGCTGTGTGACTAATCGCTCTCGAAATGCAGGAAAATACCAAGCGCTTGACTATCAACTATCCTGAGCAATGACGTCAAAGGCAGCTGACAGGGAATAATAAAACTTTTAAAGGCATAGTTCACCCCAAAATTACATTTTTTTTTTTCGCCCTTACTATGGATGTCAGTGGCTACCATCAACTGTTTGGTTACCAACATTCTTCAAAATATCATCTTTTGTGCTCAACAGAAGTAAGAAACTCAGGTTTGGAACAAAGTGGGGAACTATAGTAGAACCATTTTTGGTAAAAAAAAAAAAAAAAAGCTTTCTGTGAACAGTTCTTAAAAGAACCTTTTTTTTTTTTTCTCTGTGTGAAGAACATTTAAAAAATCTGGCGAATCGTTTTTAGTATAAAGAAATTTTGTGTAATGAAACTTTCCAGCACTATGGATATGAAAAGTTTTTCATGGAACCATCAATGCCAATAAAGAACATTTATTTTTAAGAGTGTATATAGTATCATGTGTACAATTTACAATAATGTTTAAAAGTTTGGGGTCGGAAAGCTCATCATCTGTGGTTTTAACCCTGTGCTGTTTGTAGAAAAATTGACAACATAGACATTTACGAGAAACAGAAACTCATAAAAATATTGTTATTAACAATAGAGTACATATGAAAAAAGTTTTTTTATACTGTTCATGAAATACTAAAACATTTGTCTTCTTATGAAGCAGTGCCTGGGTAGAGTAAGGCAGGGGTCTCCAACCTTTTTTACACCATGGACCGGTTACGTTTGGAAAATATTCTCGCGGACCAGTAGGTCTATAGTATTATAATAGCATTATATAGTGATTCAATGCATTAT